TTTAGCTTTAGGTCAGTTGCTTAAGCTCCTTGAGCACTGGTTGGCTCCTTTATAAACTGGAAATGTTATATGCGAGGTTAAAAACAGTGCTTGATAGGTGGTCACTTCAGCTATTGTCTTGCATTCCTTGGCCTGTTCTTTTCTATTTCTTCCAGAGTGCACCTGGCCAAGTTAGCACAGGTGGTGCAGAGGAGAGGTAGGGTCTACCTGATCAAATTCTTTCTAGGCATTTTATCACCAATTTGCAAGACTACTGCAGAGTTAACCTACCACTTCAGAGGGGTGATTCAGCTGAGGTACTGAGTCTGGGGACTGCAGCTGATTGTCGTCCTTGTCACCAAGTCACTTACTACCTGGCCCTGGTAGAGTTCCACAAACAGCATCTGCATTGGCTCAGAGCCCACCTCACTCTCCTGGGTGCCCACAGTCCTCAGCATGGTCACTTGCATGTGGTCACAAGCATGTGGACTCGCAGGCCAGATTCACAGGGCTTCTCCCTGTAGTAAATGGAGGGGTAGTAAACTTAGACTCAAGAGTGAACTGTTGGTTGGTATGGCTTTATAGGTGTGTGTGTGTGTGCACATGTGTATTTGTTTTCCAGTATGAAAATATGATATATACTCATTGTAGAAAATTCAGAAAATATAAAACAATTTGAAATTATCCATGATCCCACAACTCAGACAACCAATATTAGTGATAGAGCTATATTTTCCTCATTTTTTCTATATGAATATTTTATGCAGTTGAAAGTATATTGTATGATTAATTTTGTATTCTGTTTTCATGTAAGTCATCTCCATCTGCCTTAACGATAAATCTAGAATGATGCCCTGGCTTACATTTGTGTGCTCAGCTTAGCACTAGTGAGTGCCCAGTGAGTGCCACGGCCCGTGAGTCACTGAGTGCGAAGGGATGTTGATGGCAGCCAACACCAGTGCACACTGACTGAATGCCAAGCATGGCCTTGGGTATTCTGTAAGAATTACTGCACTTCACACAGCTCTGGTGAAAGAGGAACGGAGATTTTCCTGTTAGGACAGGGAGATGGGGCTTTGCAGAGTGAGGAATCACTGGTGCTGCCTGAGTACAGCTCTGAGCCAGGCTCCATTCTAAGTGTTTGGGCTTTCATGAATTACTGATTCTGCATGACAACCCATTATATAGATAAGTAAATTGAGGCACATAGAAGTTTTATAACTTGGATACCCAGCTAGCACCAGGGTGCAGGAGCTGTCACATAGGCCCAGGCAGGTGTGGGAGAGAGGCAGAAACTGCACTGAGAGCTGGAGCAGAGGACGGTGCCAAGATGCAGTTGTGGGAGGCCAGAGTCCAGCCCTCAGATCTGAATACACCTGCTCTGCCCTTGAACTCTTTGAAGCCCAGTTTACTCCCTTATAGAATGTGGATATTGCTAATATGTGGAGAGTTTGTGAAGAACTGAAGGTGATGCAAGTAACCGGTGCATGGCTGACATGCATGTGCCACCTCTGTCCCCAGAGTGTGAGCTTCAGACAATGCCTGGGCTGGAGCTGGGGCTCATGCCCTTGAAAATGCAGTAGAGCCATTCCATAGTGGAAGCAGCAGGCTTGGAAGGCTGTTGGTCCTTGTCATTGGAAGTGTTTTTGCCAGCCTTGAATAATTATACTCACAAATGCTTATTTAAGACTTACTGGGTACTCTGGAGTGTTCTAACTACTCTCCATGTTTCAAACTCTCTTACCCTCACAAAAGTCCTAGATATTATTATTTCCTCCCTTTACTTGGAAGAGACAGAGGAAGTTGAACCCCCTTCAGAATAACACACCCAAGGGCAAGACAACAAAGGATGGAGCTGGGTATGAACCCAGGCGGTGGGTTCAGTTTGTTTTTAACCATGTCCTCTGCTGTCGCTCACAGATGGTTGGTATCTCTAGAAGAGCCCAGGGAAAGGGGAGAGTGGACCAGATAGCTTTGAGGCTCTTGACCCACTTGGATGATTTGAGCAGTAGCCAAGTGGAGCTCGGTGAGCCTGTCCTGGGGGTGCTTCCTGGAAGAAGTCACATTGATAGGGAGAGAATGACGTGGATGGAGAGACAGGTGGGATCAGTTTCTCAAAAGAGCAAAGTGAAGGAAGCCAGTTGTTTTCTTTAGTAAAGAACCAAGATGTCCTTCGGGCCTTTCTGAAGGAGTGGAAAGAAAGATACAGCTCAACTGGCTGTGGATTTCAGGTCAGACTCTTTCCTTTTCCTTTCTTTTTTCTCACCCACGAGATGGCTTTGAAGTTCTTTTTATTTTATTTTATTTTATTTGTTTATTTAGGCTTTGAAGTTCTTTTCCAGTTTGGAGGCAGTCTTTGTTCTTTTTTGACTCACCTTCTGAAGGACAGATCGTATGTGAATATCCACACATTCCCTGATTATTTGGGAGCTAAGTGTTTTATATTGAAATAGGTTTCTGGAAAGATAATTCAGTCACCTATTATCACAGTTAAATGCCTAAAGAGTCAGTGTTTTATGCCCTTTGCCCCCCAAAACTTTGGCCAGATATTTAGATTTTTAATCTTACAACTATAGTCTTAGATGAAACGCACTTCTACTTAGGCTATTTTTGTTGGCCTATTCCTTCTCCCACGGTATTAGGGATTTGGTTAATATTTGCCACACCCATTCTCCATCTCTGTGTCTATCTCTAAATTCCTGTAGGAATCTTGCAATACCCACAGCTTCCGGAAGGCATCCCAAGCCGTGGTGATTAATCCTGTACACTGTCATTAAAACCTTACTTTCCAGATACCAGTCCTTCCATTCTTTTTCTGTCTATCTTTTCCCAGATCATTCTGGAATAATGTGATAACAGCAGTTTACAAAACTCCTGAACACCTTGTAGGTAGTAGGACAGGGAATGCTGAAGGGCAGGGGGTACTTACCGAGCGCCCATCACACGTTGGGCTGCAGCTTGCTGACTGAACGACCCCAGGGACTGTGCCGTCTTTGTTCCCGGTAGGGGTAATGATGACTGTGTTACTAGCGATGGGGACGATTAGGCGACAGGTGGCAAGTAGCTGGCACATTTGAGGTGTTCAGTGAATGACAAAGCAAATAAATGAATGTACTGTGGTTTCCGAATACCTTTTAATGACACCACTCCCTGGACCTGTCCCTGTTTGTCAGCACCTTCTTTAAGGAAACATAGAACTAAATGTTACCTTTCAGACGCGCTCTGGCCAGAGCTCGGCCAGTTCTGGAGGAGCTGTGCTGTGACTGGCACCCTCGCTGGGAGATATTGACTGACTTTGCGTTGGCAGAACAGTCTGTCATCGCGTTCTTGTGGTTATCAAATGTTGCAGCTCTTTTTCTTTTATGGGGCCCTGGGCCAAGCTATCTTTCACTAAATTCCTGTAAGGTTGGTTTCTGGGTCCCAAGACAGGACTTTGTATCTCAAATTCAACATAAAGTGTTTTTATGCTGAAAGTGAACGTAATGGCTTTGGAATAATTTGGCTCTGGAATCTCCCAGTTTGTGACCATGGATAAGTTACTTCTCTCTCTCAGCCTCCGTTTCCTTGCTCAGAGAGAGGAAATTGAGCCCAGATAATTGGTTCACAAAAAGGGTATGGGTAAGAAGAGCAGTAAGTTGCTCCTGTCCTCAGGCTGAAGGCACAGGGGGGTGGGGGGGGGATTGTCACAGGACCTAGATGCCAGGCCCTCCAGCCAGCGCAGAGAACACAGCCAGGCCTTTGGGTAGAAGGAGGCCCCTGTGTTAATGGCCTTTTATTCCCTATTGGTGAGGAGGGATTCTCTCTCTGGCATGTGGGGATAGCTAAACACACAAGGCTGGACACCCGACAGAAGAGCCTGAGAGCAGCTTATTAGCACATTACTCACAGCCTTGGGCGGACACTATGCCACACAGGATCACATGGGGGCTGCCCTCAGGAGCAGAGTGACGACCCCATGGGAGGCCTATGTTGCAGGAGGATGGTGGGGATGCACCGCTTCCCTGGGGGGATGTGGTCAGCTCAGTGCAGTCATCTGCAGGCTGGCTGGGGGCTGAAACTGACCCCTCAGGGATATGCGGGACTGCACCTGGCTGCATGGCCAGGAGGGCTGTTTGGCTGGGGGACATTATTTATGATAGCACAGTGGGAAAAGGGACTTGTGGAGAGTCCATTGAGGCCCTCTGGGTTTCGCTCGATACTGAGGCTGTGCTTCACATGTCATCCATCACCCCCAGTGTCTAACAGAGGGGGGCCATCTGTGTGCCCTTCCCGTCCTCCTGCACCTAGCATGCTGTGCGGCTGGCTGGTCCTTTGCGGGCACTACTGTTTGATCTGTGCAGCTACCCTGTGGAGCAGCAGTCACTGTTCCCATTTTATACACAAGAAGCCTTGGAGCAAAGGAGTCATCATTTTCCATGGCGTTTAGTCAGTGTCAAAAAGTCACCAAACCCAGGGCCATTTGACGGGGCACTCGAGATCTTTAAAAGACAGCAGGGTATTTGCAGGAAAGCTGCGGGTGTGCCTCCCTCCACAGGCCCTTTCCCAGGTGCTGCCCTTAGTTCCCTCTTTCCGATTTTGTGTTCTCTTTTTCTGAAAAGGGTCTCATGTTGACTGTGCTTCTCTACTGAAATTGGATCTGTTTCTCTTTAAGGTGATATAATACAGAAAATATTCATTGTGGAAGAATTAAGCTTAACTCTGATTTTGTTAGTAAGAGGAAAAAAAGCATTTATTTTGTCAGCAGGGTGGAACTGCTCCTTAGGAGTAAACTTAGCTTGGTGCTCCATGCCTCTAACGATGACCTTCTCTTCCTTCTCTTCATGGCTTGCTCGTAGATAGGGGGGATTTCCCTGTAACACCTCTTAGATTCTGGAATTTTCTTGGCAGTTTGAGCTAACACATTTTAAAAGCATTTACTTTGCTTTTGAGAATTCACCAGAATTTTCTAGGGGATGAGTAAATCTCATATTGCCTCAGTTATATCATCATCACCACCAATATTATTATTATTATTATTATAGAAAAATTATATGGTGACTTCTTGAGCTGGAAGCTGGAAGAAACCCTTGCCCAGCTCCCGCTGCAGCCTGGGAAGGTGGCCACTCTCACCATCAGCATCAGAGTGAAGCTGGATTTCTCCTGCCAGGAGAACCTCCTCCAGGACCTTAGCGACGGTAAGCTCTTTCCCTAAGTTTAATTAGCACATCACAGTCCAAGATACAGTGTAGCAGTCTCTATTCCTGGATGCCTGCTGTTTTCTCTTTGTAACTTACTCATCATCCATTAACTCAAGTTGCCTGAGACCTCTCTTGGGCACTTTGTTAACAGAGTGAATTACTGTATGTGTCTGAAAGGAATAAAAGTACATTTTAGCTAAACGACTTCTTAATTCTCACTCTTTACAATTTTATACTCATTTGCCAAGAGGTCATTCTAAATTACTGGAATGTAAGGATTACTGCATTTATTTCAAGAATAACTGCTGTGATTCCTTAGATATCTAATTAGCTGTGATGATAAAGTTACCCCTTCAAAGTCTGGTGATTTCAATAAGGAGCTAGAGTGTGAAGGAAATGGGTATTTATATTTGTTGTAACATTAGGACTGATGAGGGACAAGATTTCACAGATTAAGGATGCCCAGTTGTGGGACATGCATTCAGACATTCGTCTGAGGCACTGTAGGGTGTTTTGGTCAGCTCAGGCCGCTGTGACAGAACACCACAGACAGTTTACACAACAGAACTGTGTGTGTGGAGGTGCCTTCCTGCCGCACTCCCATCATGTGGGGAGAGGGAGCTCTGGTGTCTCTGTCTCTTATAAGGCCACTTGTCTCATCCTGGGGACTCTACCCCCACCACCCATCTAAACCTAGTCACCCATAAAGGCCCCATTTTGATATTGTGAGAGTTCAACATGAAATTTGGGCAGGGGCATAATTTGGTCCATAACACACTCCATAAAATTTGCTTTCTGTACCCTCTGCAATGTTTAAATAATCCTCATGGCCAGGTGTGGTGGCTCAAGCCTGTAATCCTAGCATACTGAGGCAGGTGGCTTTCTTGAGGTCAGGACTTTGAGACCAGACTGAGCAAGAATGAGACCCTGTCACTACTAAAAATAGAAAAGCTAGCCAGGCATAGTGGCAGGCACCTGTAGTCTCAGCTACTTGGGAGCTGAGGCAAGAGGATCATTTGAGCCCAGGAGCCTGAGGTTGCTGTGAGCATGATGCCACAGCACTCTACCCCGGGGGACAGAGTGAGGCTCTGTCTCAGGAAGAAAAAAAAAAAAAGAAAAGCAGAGAAAATCATTATGATATTCTTTCTATAATGCTAATGCTTAATAAAACATTCTTTTTATAATATTAAGGAAAACAGATTTAGTGTTTGACAAATTAGATATTAGAAAGTCAGGTGGATTTAAAATTATACCGGGACTGAAATGGGCTTTTGTTGGTAAAATGGTTTATTCCACTGAACTATGTATTTTTTTTTAATAAGTAGACAAAAGGTTACCTAGATTCTGAGTTTTTTCTTCCCAGAAAGGAGTGTGGCACAGGATGAGTGTGGCACAGGATGAGTGTGGCACAGGGTGAATGGTGTCCAGCACCAGTCCTAGGAATGCTTAATTGGATATTGTCCCAGGTATGTGTCTTGGCAGATGTACAGGCTGGAAGTGAAGTCACCTAGAAGTGACTGTGACTGAGGCTTCTGCCACTGAACACCTGTGCCATGTTCTGTGGAATTGTCTAGAACGCATCCAGGTGGAAACCTTGGCTGGTGTGTTTTGGTGTCCACGTGAGACTGCATGTTCAGTGCAGGCCTACTTTGGTCTGTTGCTGTGTTCTGACTCGTGTTACAGAGGGGACTGGGCCTTTGCTCTCTTTTCTAACCTGAGAGTAAAATTGCAGTTTGAGATTTGTGGTCTGGAAATACTTTCTTCTACTTTTAAAAATGAAACCAAATCAGAACTAGAATTACAGTTATCAAGTGCTCTGTAAATGTAAGGCTGTCCTAAATTCTAATCAGATATAACATCTGTGTGAAATAATACATGATTATTATTAATTAGATGCCCCCCTATTGATAATAGTTAATAGAAGTTCTGCATGTTATTTATACAGTAGATGATAGACTGAGCCAGAATCTTAATGGGCAAGTCTTACAGAGGAAACAGGTCAAGGTTTATGGAGGAGCAAGGTGAATTCATAGAACCCTTTAAAAATGTGGTCTGTGAGTGGTGCCTTGCTGGATATCTTACAGTTCAGTCTAAGCAGTTGTGAGGCCATCATTAAGCCTTTTTGTGGAGACAGCTGCAGATTCAGTAACAGAGGCTCGTTGGTGGCCTCTTGGGACTGGGAGGGGACCCCTCATATGGATCACAGTCTGACTACAGCCCCCCAAAACTCTATCTGGGACCACATATGTACCCGGATGTGCTTTGGACTCACATTAACTATGGCTACTGAAAGTAGATACCACTTTTAAAATTGATGGCAATAAATATACCTGTCCCACAAACCAGGGTACTGGACTCAGTGTGGGCTATAGACAGATGGAAGAGAATTCATATTTATTGAGTATTATCCATAATTATTTATAAAGTCTGGGCTAGCTACTTTATTTGCTTTATTTCCATGTAATTTTCCCAACAACTCTATAATTCCCATTTCCAATTCATAATTCCCATTTTGTAAAAGTGGGAAGAGTGATCTAGATTAAAGGAGATTGAAGCAATGTAAAAGTCAAATGCTACACATGGAACTTAACTGCATCCTGGATTTACAAACCATAGTAAATACTGAATATGTATTATATAGTAGGTAATATCACTGTATCAATGACAGATATATTAAATGTGATAATGAAATTAAAATTGTAGCAGAATATTCCTGTATATGCAGAAGTATCTTTTTTTTTTTGGATACAGAGTCTCACTATGTCACCCTCAGTAGAGTGCTGTGGTGTCACAGCTCACAGCAACCTCAATCTCTTGGGCTTAAGTGATTCTCTTGCCTCAGCCTCCCAACATGCTGGGATGCCCGGCTATTTTTTTTATTGCAGTTGTCATTGTTGTTTAGCAGGCCTTGGGGCTGGGTTTGAACCCACCTGCCTCACTGTATGTGGTTGGCGCCCTACCCACTGGGCAATGTGTGTCGAGCCTGTATGCAGAAGTATTCATGGGTGAAAGATAATTATGCCTGCATTTACTTTGATATGGTCGAGAAAAAAAAATACTGTATGAATGTGAATATAGAGAGAAATAAAGTAAATTTCTCAAATTATTAAAAATTAGTAGCTTTTGATAAAGGAATATGGGTATTTATTTTTATTCTTGTAACTTTTCTGTAGTTTTTGTATTTTTTAAAATAAAAAGTAGTGGGGAAAGATGACTTTGTAGAGTGCCTGCTTTGATATATTGTTTTGATTTCTAAATGAATTTTCTTTCTTTTTTTTTTTTTTTGAGACAGAGTTTTGCTTTGTAGCCCTTGGTAGAGTGCTGTGGTGTCACAGCTCAGAGCAACCTCAAACTCTTGGGGTTAAGCGATTCTCTTGCCTCAGCCTCCCAAGTAGCTGGGACTATAGGCGCCTACCACAACTCCTGGCTATTTTTAGAGATGAGGTCTCACTCTGGCTCAGGCTGGTCTCAAACCTGTGAGGTCAAGCAATCCACCCACCTTGGTCTTCCAAGTGCTGGGATTACAGATATGAGCCATGTGCCCAGCCCTTCTAAATGAATTTTCATATAGAAGATTATTTCCTGTGTCTTCAAATTCTTGGGAGCTCTCTCTCTAATTTTTCTCACACAACCAGCCTAGCACAGAGAAGTCAACTTTTCACCTGGAAAATGGCATATTTGTTTTCTATGATACTTATAATACCCAGAAATCTGATTTTTTAGAATTTAATGTTTAAGATTAGAGGTCTTGAAAGATGGTGGCAAACCTTCATAGGTTTTAGATATTTCTGAAATATTTAACAAACTAGACCGTACAACTCAGATAGGAAACCAATACATATAGGCAAGATACACAGCAAACAGGAGACTAGAGCGTGGATGCGGTTACTCACAGACTCAGGCATCCCTGGCCAACCCTCGTTGGCCTGAGAGGGCTGACACAGGGCAGGCTCTTACATGTTCCAATAGCAGAGAAGTGCAAAGAATTCCTTTAAAACAAAGACTCAGCTGAGGAGAAGCTGTTACTGTGTTTCCCTGAAAATAAGACCTGGCAGGATTTCTGTGCATTTGTTAAATATAAGCCCTACCCCAATAATAAGACCCAGCCACACCATGCATTTCAGTGCAGAGTGGTAAGGAAGACTGGAATACCTTTTATCTGCCATAGTTCCTTTCTCCAAGCCGTTGCACTTGCGGGTGCGCATGCGGTAACCGTGGTTGCAGGCATCCTATTGCGCACATGTGAACAGCTAGGGGAAAGGAGTTCATGCATCACTAGCGCCAGCCCCACCAACAAGGTCGACTCCCCCTGTCAGGTTCCAGAAGAAGATGACTTAACTGTATTTGAATAAATGTAGATTGTTGTAGTATACTTAAAAAAATTAGAAATCCCCTGAAAATAAGCCCTAGTGTGCCTTCTTGAGAAAAAATAAATATAAGACAGTGTCTTATTTTCGGGGAAACATGGTAGGAATAGATGAGTGTACATGCAGTAGAACAAAGGAACGGAGTCCAGCTGAGAGTGGGGGAGGCGAACAGCCAGGCAGCCTAGAAAGGAAGCCCTCATGTTCCTGACAACTACCTGGAAACACAGAGTGTACAGTGTGGATCCATCATTTGGAAGAGATACCCCAATCATCTGAAAATAAGCC